TCTTAAATTCAATGCACTGAAAACAAAAACAAAACAACCATTTTTCCCTTAAAAAAAAAAGTTCAATGCATTGGTCCAAAGCTCTACTGATTTTTTCTCTCTGAATTATTACAATCACCTCTTAACTGGCTTCTTACCTTCAGTCTTAACCCTTTTCCAATCCAACCTCCAAATTCCACCAAAGCGACTTTAAAAACACTTCATCATGATGTTCTTATGCAGAAAATTCTTTAGTAGAGATTTGAATCTTCCATAACAAAAAATCAAAGTCCATTAACAATGCATGCCAGAACTTCATGATCTGGTTCCCATTTGATTCTCCATATTCAACTCATCTGTGCCTACCCTCTTACTGCCTACCTCCACCCCCAAACTGCAAATGCTTTCCTCCTTGAAGATTTTTAATTCTCCAGATATTCTTTCTCATCATCAAACACCATCCGTTTTTCCCCTCCCCTCTCAACACATCTCCATAAATGAAGTTTCTCTTGTAATTAAAGTGTCTTCTCATTTCTCCAGCTTTTTTAACCCAGTCAGCCAACCTAACCTCTGCTACCTGACTTATACTAGGGTCTTCAAGATGACTTGAGATACAACTTTATCTGTGAAGTGAGCTTGAAACTGTGAGAGTTAGGAAGGGGTGGCAGGAAGAGGAATGGGAGAAGATTTGTACTCACTTACACGTCTCCATAGATTTGAATTTTCCCCCCATTTCCAAATCTAGCTTTTTAAAATACAAATACTTCACATCTACCAAGATGTTTTTCTAAGGCCCTACTCTAAGGTCAGAAATAGAAAAGTAAGTTTCAATTCAAATGCCTGCGGTATAATAAAGAAATTTTATACAAAAGAAATGACGCAGGGTAGGCCCTTCGCAGGTTTTGAGAAAAGCTAGGCTGGCCACATCTAAAAGACCCTCTTTCCCAACTTTCTGGGAGGGGAAGAAGCTGGTGACTGAGTTCAATTACATGATCAATGAAGTATAAGACCCAATAAAACTCTGACACCCAAAGCCCAAAGAGTTTCTTTATTTGAACACACTGATGTTCAGGGCGGGCAACATGCCCTGGCTCCATAGGGAGAGAGCATGAAGCCCTGCATCCAAGACCCTTCCAGGCCATGTCCTACATGTATCACTTAAGATTAAAACATAATCAGTAAGTATAGTGTTTTCAGTGCATTCTGTGAGTCGTTCTAGCAAATTATTGAACCTGAGGGAGTTGTGAGAATCCCCAAATTTATAGCTGGTTGGTGGGATGTGTGGCTCCCAAGACTTACAAACTGTTTAAGTTTAGGCAGTCTTATGGAGGACTTTCCCCTTAAATTGTGGGATCTAATGCTCAGTGTAGTTTCAGAACTGAAGCAAATTGCAGGACAAACAGTTGCCAGGGACTGACCAAAGAAAAGAATCTTCTAGAAGCAAGTCTAGTATCAGCAAAAAGGGCTGCTGTGATCAATGAGCAATGTCTGCTATGAGAGCAGGGTTATACAGGAAGGAATATCATGTGTGTCACATAATTGCCTTCCTTGTATATGTCATCAATGAAGTCTTTGTGCCAAAAATTAAGAAACTCACCCGAGGGTAAGATATTAAGTGTTTCTACATACCTGGTAGGCAGCTTTTCAAAGTCAACATCTAAGAATTGTTCATAGCTAGAAACAAAATTGTCCAACCATAGCTTCAGGTAATCTGGATCTTTCTGAAATAAGAAAACCGTTAGAGTATTAAGTATATCTGTCAAAAAAAAAAAAGATTTTACTCCTATTATGCATATGTAAATTGATAAATCTAAAGAAAAAATAAAATAAAACCTCTAAGTGACATTCAGGAAGACATAA